TTATAACTACCTCATGTTGTTAAAATCGGTGCTTTATTGTTAATCACGTAATCAGAATTTGAAAGCCGAGTGTCTAGTGGTTATTTTACTAATAAACCACACAAAGGAATTTGCTGGTTTCAGTGATGTTTCTTAAAGTTATCATCAGGTCACTTTTTCGGGAACTTTTCCGCTATGGTTCAGTTTTGATTCGGTCAGAATCTGGTGCCCCACACATGTTTAATTTCAGTACAATTTGTTAATGCTAAACCATTAGACACACACACACCTTATACAGTTCTACCTGTAGCTATTTCTCCTACACACGTATAAATTTTCTTTCTTTTAAGTCAAACATATAAATCATGTACTGAAACATACTGAATTGCCCTTTTTAAACAAAAATACAAATGAGTTATTATGAATTGTTAATTATTCATTCAAGTATGTAAACCTTAAGAAATGGTGCTTACAGTGGTAATCTATATGTACCACCAATACTGAGTTATTGTCAATATTTCTTTGACCCTTTTACGAGAATATTTTCTCATAAAAATAAATAAGTAAAGAGAATTTCAGCAGCTTTTCTACACATTTGTGTATATCCATCCAAGCGTCGAGGCATCAGCTGTTTCCCAGCTGACTGTTGTCACTATACGCCCAGAGTCCCTGAAGTTTATTCTGGGTGATTTTAATCACTGTATCCTGTCCAATCAATCAGAACATACGAACAATACGTAACGACACATAGGAACACTACTCTGGATCTTTGTTATCATAACAGCGTGTACTTAATGCCTGTGTACGAGCCCTGATGCATGGACAGGGAGGATAGACATGTCAAAGTCTGGACCGAGGACAGTGTATCTACTGTTCAGGCATCACTGGACAGACTGGGAATGCTTCTTCAACACTTGTGATAACATGCACAAACTGACAGACAGTGCACAGTCTGCACTAAAAGGGTGATCATATACTCAAACAATAAACCTTGGGTAACTAAAAGAACTTAAATCTGTCATTAATAAAAAGAAAATGACTTTTTTCTGTGGTGCCCTTTTGAAGAGGAAGGCTGCTTCAAGAGAGGTTGGAAATGAAATCAAGAAAGGTAAAATAATATACAAAAAGAAGACTGAACAGCAGTACCCTGAGGGTGATCTTAGAGCAACATGGAAAGGAATCAAATCCATGGCATCATTCCGACTGTGAGTCTAACCAGCTTATTAGTATAAATGGTATAAATGCAAATGATCTATCAAATGCTTTTAATTCATTTGTCTGTAGATTTGAAAGGGCAGACCTCTATAGCAATTAGTTCAAGCTGTGTACTTTGCTTGAACAAAATAAGGAAAAGCATTGTGATTTTTCAGGAAAGTGTCAGAAAACAGCTTAAAGGGTGAATGTTCATAAAGCTCTGATTCTATCTGAGGGAAAACACTGCGGCACTGCGCTGAGCAGCTCAGTAGCATGTTCAGACTTTTCCAAATGTGCTTGGACAGTGGGCACATCCCCCTAAAACCTCTGGAAAACATCTACCATTGTTCATCTCCCCAAATTCCAAAGGCCAAAAGAACTAAATTAATTTAGGCTTACAGCTCTCTCGCTTACCTCTCCCTGTTGTGTTCACCTGGTGCCCCTGGACAGAGCTGTAATACCCAGGCTTCAGGACACAGAGATGGGGCACTTTTGGCTCCTCCTGGCCTCAAGCTTCCCTGTCACACTAAAAAAATGTCTAATGAAGAAGAAAAAAACTAATATTAGTCACAGTGGACTATAAGTCACACTTTTTTGGGGAAATTTATTTTATAAAATCAGAGACCAGGAACATAACATTACAAGTTTACCAAACTCTTGATCTCACTCCAAATCACCATTGAGTCCATTGAATTGTCACTTCTGAGCAACTCTGCGAGCTCCGGAGGTAAACGGAGTGCCACTTCCTCTTCTGTGTAGCTGTCGTCTGACTCAGCATAAATTCCAGTAAGAATTATTCCGGCCTTTCTGGATCCTGACAAGATGGTTTTCGGTGTCACAGAAGTCCAGGCTTTGTCCATCCATCCAGTGATTTCCAGGAAGTTGTATGGTGCTCCCTCCTGGTTCTCACAAGTTTCTCGCCCACTCCATACTCTGCTGATCAATTACTGTTTTCGACTGCATATTTTGCTACTTGCAGCTTGTAATCTGCAAAATATGATTTTCTTTTTGGGGGCATTTGTGTTCAGTCTTCTCAGTTGCTGTTATGACCCAGATCTGCTAGGGACAGGGGGAAGTAACAAAATAACCAAATGGTAAAACTAAAGTTGTGATTTATTTAAAAGAATTGTAAGGTAAAATGATATTTACAAGAATAAATAAAAAAAGGCTCTAAACAGAGTGGCTAAATGTATAACTAAAAGTAGGCTAACCAAAACAGGGTATACAAAATGAAAAAAAACAAAACAAAACCAGTCTAAGTCACAAGGACTGTAGTGTCTCAACAAAATACACCACGAGAGACACAAAGGTGGCAGGCAAGGGATTGACTAACATGATACAGACAGGACAGTGGCTCTTTCTGCAGGAGACATGCACAGTAGAGTGCAAAGTGACAGTGGTACAGGAGGAACAGGAGCAGCAGATACCGACACACAAGCCTAGAGCCTCTCGCTGCTGTCAGTGTGAACATTTTAATGTGTAGTGTAATGTCACACTGGAGTACAAGTCACAGGACCACCCAAACCATGAAAAAAAAGTCTGACTTATACTCTGAAAAATAACTGCTTAAAGCAGTAAAATGTTGCAGCAAAACTGCAACAGTTTGCTGCAGCAAAACCTGAATTTCCTGCAGGATCAATGAAGTGTCTCTCTCAAAAACAGTGCATACTACTCCATTCATTCCAATGAGACAATTTCTGACATTTTCACGTTCACACGGTTGAAGACTTTCTTGGGCTTTATCTTGCCCCCAGTCTTAGGATAAAGCACAAGTGGGCGTGGCCAGGTGGAGCTGTACTTCGCTGCTGGAGGCTGGAGTGGGATGGTACAAGTGCATATATGATGTCTGCATCTGAACCAATCTGTGACACTGTGGCATTTAATATCACTGCCCGTGTGGGTAAAGTCTGTAAACTTTACCTCATTACAGGCAGTGTGGGGAAAAGTTATATATAATATAAGTTATATATAATATAACAGCTCTGGAGCCTCACGATGCAAGTACACACCAGCAGAGGCACAAGGAATATAGAATTTTGTACGGGCCACGACAGAACTGATTGGGTTTGTGTCCGAACACTCCGCGTGCATGTGCACCCTCTCATGCACACACACTGCTGTAAGCCCGTGCACGTGCACACACATGAACCTTTTATAGTTTCCTCTGTTTGTTTAAGACCAGCGTCTGTCTCATGTGCTCCTCTTCCACAAACCCGCTGCTTTCTCACACCTGCTCCCGTCTGTCCTGGCAGTCTGTTCCCACGGACTCACCTGAGGTACGAGTGTCCACCGCTGCAACCGCTGACCGCTCACATTCTCGTCTCTCTAGTGTCCAGTGCATTTGGTCTCTCTCAGGTGAATGTCTCGTGGATTATGGAATACGTTTATTGTCATATAAATGTTTCTGATGTTACAACTTTGCACACAGATATGATACGCGCTGTCACAGCCCCGAGCTCAGTAAATGTGCGCGCAGAGTCCGGCTGTGAGAATGTGAGGAAATCAACATCGCAGCATTAGAAGCGCAGACAGAGTAAGAAAACACACTTTAGGACAGCGCTGTAAATGGTCTCATGTGAATGAGCAGATTTTGTAACATGTTATGAATGTTAAGCATTTATCATCCTAATATATTTCCTAATAAAAGAAGCTTTGGGCACGTTACACGTTGTTTTTCAGCTGACTTGTTTGATTGTTTTATTTTTAAGATTCTGGCAATTCAGTAAACGCGCCACACCTGCCCTCAGTCTGCTCCATTCCACCTGATGTTCAGGCACGACACACCTCCTGTTTAGAACTCCACGCCCTGCACTTGTGCTGAGCACTAAGACTGGGGGCAAGATATGACCCTTTGACTTTTTATTCAGTTTGATATATGGGGAATATGGGAAATATCAATGACCTATTGCAAAGTTTTGTTTTATTTTTCATCCCAGTTTACCAAAACCCATGTATTTCTATGACAAATGTTGGGAGTTGCCATGGCAACATGGTGGCAAATGTGTGTATGTCATCTTTTGTTTTTTTGACCCTATTCAAATTTTCAAGGCGGCTGTAGAGCAGTTTTACAGTTTTATATCAGTTATATTTTGTTCATCACTGCATTCAGATTGTCAGTGCGCACAAATGTTTCATTAGGTCCGATTCAATCTGAAATCACCTGTGAGAAATAAACACATGGTGGGCATTTTAAATAGTTTGTGTGTTAGTGTGAATGAGACTGTGCATTTTTAAAATGACTGTTGTGGCAGACATGCTGGTTTTAAAAAGCTGAGCTGAGCTGTGCTGGGGGGGGCACAAAGGTAGCTACATTTTTAAAATTTTTAATTTATTGAAATTGTGCCTGTCTGTGTTTTTTTTGGAATCTCGTAATTTTGTGTAGTAATTGTCCCTGCTGTTCTTTAGTTTGTTTTGCTGTTGAGTTCACCAACTGGTTTCTTTCTTTTTTGTTGTTGTTGTTTTGTTTCAGGTCACTGCCCCAAAACTGCCCATTTCTGTTAAATAAATAACCTAAACTGCATCCCCGGCTCTGTACTTTTACTACCATGGCTAGCTCTTGTACCAAATTGAATTTGTCTAAAATGTGTTTGTTTTTTATTAGTTTTATTTTTTTATTGTTGAAGAGTAATTTTGAAACATACATTTTTTGTACATTAAAATAAATCAGTTTTTGCCAACCTTGAATTGTTGTTCAAGTGAAGTTGACTTTTGTTAATGTTCAGGGGGCCAATATGTAATAATAATAATAATTATTATTATTATTATAGCCCCCAGGCGACAGCCGGGGACTCGCGACCGCCCCGACACGCCTTTTTCTCTTCCCGACAACTGCCCAGGCCAACAGCTCGTCCACATTACATAATGCACCTTTAAATATTTTAAGGAGTCATTGCGCCCCTACTGGCCAACATTGGAAAATGCACCATGTCCTTAATAGACTTGCTGACTTGTATATAATGCATAGAATTTTATTTCCAAATTTGGTGCTAATCCGATAATGTTGATGTTGTCTATGCTAGGGGGCGCTATAGAGTTCACTGTTCATATGTTTTATAGTGTATTATATTCAGGCCGTGATCAGGCATTAGTGATTCAAATTTCAGCACGATCGCACTAAGCCTGTGTGTGTAATTATTTTTTAACTATTTTTTGGGGGAGTCTTTGCGCCCCTGCTGGCCAGTGGTGGAAAATGCCCCATGTCCGTAATAGACTTTTTTGCTTGTAATCATACACAGAATTTAATTCCCGAATCAGAGCTTGACTGGTGATCTTGTGGGCTGCGTGGGGATGTACTCTCAGGCAACTGTATGGGCACAAAAGTAATAATGTTACTATAGAACTTGATGGTATTGTAGACGAAAACATTTACATAAATGGTGATGAAATTACCTCGTCCAAAAAGATGCCACTGAGGTTTTCCCCCGACGGTGACGGCAGCACTGGGTCAGTCTGCAGGTCATCCAAGCGGAGCTATTAAAAACAAAAATGTATTAAACCAACTGCTACATTTATAATTAATTATATTAAACTTTTCATATTAAAAAATGTAAACTGAGAAGGAATAACAAACCTCAAAAGATGGAGGGCTTCCAAAGGATGCTCGTCTAGTTGATGCCTGCCGCTCACCGACCTTCTGTATAAGAAAAAAAATATATATATGTTATATTTAATTGAGCCTCAATGATTTAAACAAATAAATCAGGAAATGGGAACCAACCTGATGCTTCACGTTGCGCTTGGTCTTCTGGGCCTTTCTACGCTTGATAGAAGAAGTCTAAACAAAGAAAAAGTATAGTTACTAGTTATTCATATCCAATAATGGCCAGTATGAGTGATCAATTTATGCCTCAGCAAGTCAAAATTACCTTTTCCACCATGACATCAGGTTCTTCACCGCTGGAGGGAGAGATCTTCTTCATCTCTGCAGCCATGGCAGGGCTGAACACCGCAGGGGACAATGGGATGCCAAACTCTGTAACCTTAAAGTAAAAACAACAGATGGGTCAACAATTAATTCTCTGACAAGAAACTTTAGAAAAAAATTATCACTTTACAAACCTGCAGTGCAATCACAGGAGATGGTTTCTGTGCAGTCTCAGGCGATGACTCCTCGGATACCTTTGGTAACAAACAAAGAAAAGGACAGAATTTTGTTAATATGTACACAGTGTAACTATTATAAATGCCAAATGTATAGATGAAATAAATGTTAAATTGATATATCTAGACTCTTACCTTGCCACAAGGTACACTGCGCTGTTTCCTGGTGCCTTGTCTAGCAGGGGCTGGAGGAGACACAGGCACAGGAGCAGTAGGACGGCGGCGGGGTCTGGCGTAGGTGGGAAACGGCAGCTTGGGAGGGCTGGGAGGAGGGCACTCCAACTTGGTGTAGCAGGCTGCCCACACCTGGTCCATGAGGATGGGCAGACCATGCTCATCACTCAGATGGGTCTGTGTGACATAAAAAATAGTTAAAAGCTGCATTTTAAGAATGATTAAAAGTTATGCTTTATCATTATACTTACTCCATCTCTTGCCCACAGTTTGGTGTCAGTTACTGGAAACTGGTCAGCAATCACGTGGTACGTCACCTCTGTATAAATACAGGGAAAATGTTTATAAAACAAATCAATGAAGAGGTACATTAAAAAAGATGTGGATATACTAACTGGCATCAGCTGCAGCACGATGATATTCTCGCTGAAGAGCTCTCTGGAAGTCATCGTCAAAACTCAGACGTGGAGGAAAATCCACCACACACACCTGTAAAACCAAATATTGAATTAATGTAATATTTGGACAAGAATAAATGAGCAAAACTACAGTGTAACAACAAAGAACATGTTTACCTTGCGCCAGGAATCTGTGACAGAGATCAGAAGGTCCACAAACGCACCAACACACTTGCTGATGGGTGTCGTCTCACTAGGAAGGTTGGAGGGAGCCAGGAGACACAGCAAGTCCGGTTCTAAAGATGAAATTGTATACATTAGAAGAAGCATTTCTTGATGGGCAGAACATTGTTAAATGTTATGCAATCTACATACCTGGGTGGTGCTCCTTTGTTACCGTCTCACGATCAGCCAACAGCCTCTTCTTCAGTTCAGCAGCAATCGCACCCGGGCTGCAGGAGAAGCCGAACGAGAGACGACCTTCAGGAAACCGCACTCTGTTGTCCACAATGGAGCAGAGATGAGAGTCCCCAGCAAACAGAACCACCTGCAAAAACACATATACATTTTAGTATAAAGGTATTAAGATGTAAATGTGTTATGAGGGAAAAAACATTTACCTTTTTGCCTGGGCTCTTAGTCGGCATGACCAATCTGTACCTCTTGGTCTTCTCATCTTCATGGTTGTACTTCGGTGTAGGACGGAACCCGGTGCCTTCTCCTGAATGACAAAATAATTTCAGTTACATACTCTTACAAACAATCAACTATAAAATAATGCAAGTCCACACTTACGAGGAGGAGGCTGAGGAGATGCCAGAACAACGCCAACGTCAACTTGCTTGACAGACTTCTTCTCCTGCTGCTTAGCCCACCTGAGCTTCGCAGCTGCAGACCTCCGTGAAGGCCTGGGCATCTGAAAATTTAAAAACAAACTCATTAGTTAGTTAACTCAAATTGTTACACATGTTTAAATTTATGGTTCAGTTTACTACTGCTATTTCAACAGTTGTAGGGAGGGTCCCAGGGAGATGAGAGAAATAGGTGAGGGGTGTGACTTGCTCTGTAGAGAGAGGAGGGAGGGGAGGAGTCATGGGGGATGGGGAGTTATACTACTACTTCTAATACTACAAAAAGAAAATTAAAACACAAAGAAATGTAGCGTGCAGAAAGCCAAATGGACAAGGGATATGGACAAGGAAAGAACAATGTTTAAATTTAAAAAAGGACACCAAAAAAATTATCTTTATTTTACTTCACACTATTAGGAAGAGAGGGGATATATTGTAGTAAGTTTAAAATGCCAGCTAAAACATAAATAAACATTGTACATGATATTTAGTTGGCTAAGAGAATATCTATGGAATTTCTCATTCTAAACACATGCCATAAAGAAGGCAACAAATATATCTATATCCCTGAAACTGAAAATGACAAAAAACCTGTGTAGAGGAGTCTGTAGGAAGTTTAAGGTTAGTACTATTGAGATGAAAAATGGGGGAGGGGTGTGATTGGTTCCTAAAAGTAAAAGAGCTGTGAATGAGGGAGGAGAGTTCATTAAACAGTGAAAGAAGTAATCACTTTTTACACAGAGAAATTACACTGTGCTGGTTGTTGGTGGTTGTGACTAAACCAATAACCAGCACAGAAACTACATTTTGGAATGGTGAAATGTTTAGACATTTAAGCCACTTAATAAGTAATAAGTAATATCAGAAAACATTTAACAGTTCTCACCTTCTTGGCTGACACAAAAATCAGTTGAATATGTCTTCCCAGAAGATGTCTGAAATCTCAGATGAAACAGAACTCAGATGAAACAGAATGCCTTAGCAAAAGATTTAAAACAATAGTCCAACAAAATAAAATAAATCTGAAAATGACACAGTTGTAGTCTTGATGACCCACTTGCTTTGAGAAAAGCAACCAGATCATGGGCACAATGTCGTCTTTTATGCTCCTCCTGTAGACGATACTTTCTAACTTCTCCTGTAGGTGATCAGTGGAATGTGATTGGTTGCACAATTTCAGATCTTGAGAAACGGGTGGAGCTAACTGTTGATCCGTCCCACGTCTCAAGAGAAAATGATGGACAAACCGTGCTTTGGCAAAATAAAACAAGAAACAAAAGTTTGTTCTTAGTGTGGATTTTTGGAAAGGTAGGTAATATAAATGAATTTACAAAAGCCACATTCTGGAAGTTTCAGCTAAGTTTCACTAATTGATGTGATAACTGATGTATGCTTTTTCTCAGTTTTCAGTCTAATGAAATACTCATATGCTCCTTACTGTTTATAACACTATTTAATATTGTCCACACTTCTTTAACAGTTATAACATTAATATCTTTTATAGTAAATTTGTTTTATCTCTGCCTCCATCGTCCTCTTTTTATAAAGTTTCTGAATAGCCTTTTTTTCTTTTTACAAGCTTTTTTGAAGACGTCTCTTTTTAATTTATTATTATTATTTTTTTTTATATAATATAACAATTGGACAATTTCTCTTTTATAATTCTAGAAATATTTTTTATAACTTCATCATAAGTACTCTGTATTTTGGATATTGTAAAGCATCACAGTTTTTTAAGAAAGAAAATTATTTTTAAAGGCAGTGAAAGCTTGGTCTGACTGAATTTGTCTGTAGTATTGTATTTTTCCAGGTCCTTTTTATCTCAATCTGAGGTCAGTAACTATAAAATTGGCAGATAATCTGTGTTATTGTTTTTATTATATTGTTTTATTATTATTATTATTTTTATTATATTATTTTTTTTATTTTTTTTGTTTCAGTCATTTTGTAGTGTGATAATTTTATTCAAACATTTACCTAAACAGAGGCTTCAGTGGTTGTATCATTTGGAACAGAGACAACTTTTGTTTTTGAGTCAGGCCAGTTACTATTACAGTTACAGTTTCAGTCCACTAAGGTGAGGTGTTTTTCTTGTGTAAATGTTTCCATCTAACGACTCATTGAGGGACAACTGTTCATATGCTGATGACAGCTGTTAGTCAATCGTTCAGCGACAACCTTTAGAAACTGTATTGTCATTGTCTAAATATCAGCAGTGCAGTCACATGGATTCTAATTTAAATAGTTCAGTTTGTAAGTGTATACACTTGTAGTCATTGTAAATAACAGTTTTCAGTTTAGTGAAATATGCTCATTCTAATTTGTTGAGTAGAACATATAGACTTCTTTTTTGTACATTATAAACATAGTGCACCTTTAAATTTCTAAAAAGTGAACGATTCTAGAGGCAAAAGTGTAAAAACTAGCAACTCATTGAGTTTTATGATCAGGAACACGTCAGTGAATGTTCTGCAGAGTTTCACAAATTAATGTGAATGTAATTTTTTCCTTTCACAGTAAATTTTCTGCTTTGCTAGGTGGCTTGTAGCACTGATAATTGTGTTTGACATATCGGTGGAATCTGGGTCATGGAGTGTATACCTGATAAAAATTTCAGCATGATGAGAATAAAACATGTGTGTATAATAATTTTAAAAATATTTTTGGTGGAGTCATTGTGCTCCTGGCCAACCGTGAAAAATGCACCATGTCCGTAATGGACCTTTCTGCTTGAAATCATGCATAGAATTTAATAATCAAATTTGGTACAAATCCGATAATGTTGACATTTTATGTCTATGGCAGGGGGCGCTATAGTGTTCTTTTTTCATATGTTTTATAGTGTATTGTAATCAGGCCATGATCAGGCATTAGTGACTTAAATTTTACCATGTCCGTAATAGACTTTTTAGCTTGTAATCATGCACGGAATTTAATCCCCAAATTTGATTCAAATCTGATAATGTTGACTTTTCATGTCTATAGTAGGGGGCGCTATAGTGTTCACTTTTCATATGTTTTGAAGTTAATTATATTCAGGCTGCATTAGTGATTCAAATTTCAGCACGATTGGACTAAGCCTGTAAGTGTAATAATTTTTAAAATATTTTTGGGGGAGTCTTTGCACCCCTGCTGGCCAACCATGAAAAATACTCCATGTCCGTAATAGACTTTTTTGCTTGGAATCATGCATGGAATTTAATCCCCAAATCTGATATAAATCTGATAATGTTGACGTTGACTTTGAATAGATTTCATATTTCATTACATTCAGGCTTGGATCATACAATTGTGATTTGAATTTGAGTTTTGTAGGACAATGCCTGTGGCCGTGACAGGTCACCGAAAAAACAGGAAATGAAGGTGTTGTTCGGCGGCGTGCTACAGGCGAACCGTAAGAAGTATCAAAATTCCTTCTGATGATTTTTGTGAGTTCATGTCTGTAGATGTGACATGTCAAATCTGAGCTCATTTGGACCAAACCCTGGGGACTTGAATCTTTTTGTAGACCCCCAAGTCAAAACGGCGCCGAATGTTTGATCCAATATGGCCGACTTCCTGTTCGTCTTAGGGTCATGCTCCAATTCATCTTTTGTCTTGTCTCATTGTTCTCTATCACTGTCCAGAATTTCGTTTCCCTATGACAAACTTTACCTGTTCCCACTCCCATAGGAGTCCAATTCTAGGTGGCGCTGTTGAGTCGGGTCACTTTGGTCATTGTCACGATGCCCATTTTATAGAATTTTTTGCCGGGTCGATTGATCTGAACCCCGGTTTGGGGACTTTTCGTCCACGTTCAGGGGGTCAAAAATGCGATCATTTGGTCGGAAAAGGAATAAAAAAAAAAGAAACTGACGAAGAACAATACCCCTATAGTTTAGGAGAAAAATAATAAATAATAATATTATTATTATTTATTATTGGCCCTCGCCACTAACAAAGTTAGGGGCGAGGGCCAATAATAAATAATAATAATATTATTATTCATTATTTTTCTCCTAAACTATAAAAGTCACTGTGGATCATCACAAACAAGCCCCTTGTGATTATTTTTTCACAAGTCCACAACAAACTGATTAAGACACATTTCATATCAGCTGTAGTGTTCTTACAGCACATTTATTTTGTGCCATGAGCCTCATGACTGAGGATTTTTTTAACCTTTACATGGACAAACCGTGAAGGCTAATTATGTGAAACATGTAGATGGATCAAATGACTCTGGCTGCAGCCTTACGATGACAAGTTGTTATTGCATGGATGCAACTCCAGGACTTGTGCCATTCATTTTAGTGGTGAGTAACACACTGATTATCCCTGATCAAGCTTTCAAACTTTTAATATTATTTTAAAAAAGTGTGAAATTTTATTCTGGAACTGGGGTATGGGCAGTCACTTCTAAAGGTTCTAAAACCCCANTTGTATACATTAGAAGAAGCATTTCTTGATGGGCAGAACATTGTTAAATGTTATGCAATCTACATACCTGGGTGGTGCTCCTTTGTTACCGTCTCACGATCAGCCAACAGCCTCTTCTTCAGTTCAGCAGCAATCGCACCCGGGCTGCAGGAGAAGCCGAACGAGAGACGACCTTCAGGAAACCGCACTCTGTTGTCCACAATGGAGCAGAGATGAGAGTCCCCAGCAAACAGAACCACCTGCAAAAAACACATATACATTTTAGTATAAAGGTATTAAGATGTAAATGTGTTATGAGGGAAAAAACATTTACCTTTTTGCCTGGGCTCTTAGTCGGCATGACCAATCTGTACCTCTTGGTCTTCTCATCTTCATGGTTGTACTTCGGTGTAGGACGGAACCCGGTGCCTTCTCCTGAATGACAAAATAATTTCAGTTACATACTCTTACAAACAATCAACTATAAAATAATGCAAGTCCACACTTACGAGGAGGAGGCTGAGGAGATGCCAGAACAACGCCAACGTCAACTTGCTTGACAGACTTCTTCTCCTGCTGCTTAGCCCACCTGAGCTTCGCAGCTGCAGACCTCCGTGAAGGCCTGGGCATCTGAAAATTTAAAAACAAACTCATTAGTTAGTTAACTCAAATTGTTACACATGTTTAAATTTATGGTTCAGTTTACTACTACTATTTCAACAGTTGTAGGGAGGGTCCCAGGGAGATGAGAGAAATAGGTGAGGGGTGTGACTGACTCTAGAGAGAGAGGAGGGAGGGGGAGTCATGGGGGATGGGGAGTTATACTACTACTTCTAATACTACAAAAAGAAAATTAAAACACAAAGAAATGTAGCGTGCAGAAAGCCAAATGGACAAGGGATATGGACAAGGAAAGAACAATGTTTAAATTTAAAAAAGGACACCAAAAAAATTATCTTTATTTTACTTCACACTATTAGGAAGAGAGGGGATATATTGTAGTAAGTTTAAAATGCCAGCTAAAACATAAATAAACATTGTACATGATATTTAGTTGGCTAAGAGAATATCTATGGAATTTCTCATTCTAAACACATGCCATAAAGAAGGCAACAAATATATCTATATCCCTGAAACTGAAAATGACAAAAAACCTGTGTAGAGGAGTCTGTAGGAAGTTTAAGGTTAGTACTATTGAGATGAAAAATGGGGGAGGGGTGTGATTGGTTCCTAAAAGTAAAAGAGCTGTGAATGAGGGAGGAGAGTTCATTAAACAGTGAAAGAAGTAATCACTTTTTACACAGAGAAATTACACTGTGCTGGTTGTTGGTGGTTGTGACTAAACCAATAACCAGCACAGAAACTACATTTTGGAATGGTGAAATGTTTAGACATTTAAGCCACTTAATAAGTAATAAGTAATATCAGAAAACATTTAACAGTTCTCACCTTCTTGGCTGACACAAAAATCAGTTGAATATGTCTTCCCAGAAGATGTCTGAAATCTCAGATGAAACAGAACTCAGATGAAACAGAATGCCTTAGCAAAAGATTTAAAACAATAGTCCAACAAAATAAAATAAATCTGAAAATGACACAGTTGTAGTCTTGATGACCCACTTGCTTTGAGAAAAGCAACCAGATCATGGGCACAATGTCG